GGCATCTGATAGTTGAGTAATGGGATTAGCTGGGCAGTAAATCTCCAGGACCAGAACTGTAGGTCTTCCCCACTCAAAGGAAGACAGACAGACACGCAGACCAACCTGGCTTTTCCACTTGACTTTAATGCAAGTCATCCTTTTGTCATTGCTTACTCACCACGACTCTCTTCCGTTCCTTTTAAGGCTCTTGTTGCCTTTAAAATAATAAAGTTATGGTTTCTGCTGAGCTCTGAAACAGCGTCAGTGTGAAGACTCTCTTGCTCCACTTCTAGCTCCGCTATAGAGAATTCTATGCAGCTTACATATTCTGATGACCTTGGCGTGGCACTTAAAGGGAAACTCTGCAAGTTAGGACAAAATCTGGAGGATGAAGCTGAAAGTTTAACGAGGTTTATGTGAGGCTGTGCGGCTCTGATGTGCAAACAGCTGCGTGGAGGAGTCCTCGGACGGAAACCTGATCTGCGACAGGAGTCGGCGTCTGCAGTATGCAAAGCAACATCTGGATTAAAACGGAACTCTGATCACAATCGATAAAGATTTACGATTGACAAAAAGAAGAACTCACCAGCTGTTAACCATGAACTACCTCAAAAAAGCTAAGCTGCTGTTTTTGTGCTAATTAACAACTATTAGCATGCTAGCACACTGAACTAAGAGAGTTAAGCATTGTAGCTGCTAGCTGTTAGCATCACAGCTGAAATGCTAACATGATTATTGCTCCAGATGTCCAAGGAGATTCCCATTTTTACGGTTCACAGTTAAAAGAGCATCAAACTAAAGTAGTCGCTGCCGGACTCTCGTGGATTTGCGGAGATGACAAAATTTACATTTCATGGCTTCTGATGGAAGTATAAAGACCAATTCATGGTTTCATATTTAGGACAGAATAGAATTCCTTCATTGTGAAACAAACAACGGCTCCTGTGAACATTACTCTTCCTACATTTTTTTTTTTTTTTTTTTACAGGATATAGCACCTGTAGTGTATGGACACCGCACTGGATTTCTGGAGAATCTAGAACTTCCCACATCTGCACAATGCCTACAGTTAGTGTCCGCACGACGACTACGCCACAAGAATAATAGTGTGCATGTGTCGGGGATTATTCCTGAGGGGTGACCTGCTCAGGAGGTGAACATAGCACGAGATTTATGGAGAATTTAGAACTTCCTGCTCCTGAAGTTTGGCTTCTGTCAACGGCAAACATGCAAATCAAAATCTGCCAAAATCTGGCAGCAACTAGTTTTATTAAAACTCTGTTTTAATTAATTAAGGTGTGAGTGACAGCCTAGAATTTATGACTATGCTATAAGGGCAATATAGCAAATGCTAGGTAGTAGTGTGCATATGCGTACATACAACTTACCTATTAACTAGTCCGACTCAGCGAATGTAGACTTCGGGTATAAACAGGTAAGTATTGGCCGCACAATTCCTGCAGTGCAAGAAACACTTACTCATTTTAGTTCTCTTCCCTGCATGCCGTAGTTCCACCAACAATAATTCACCCGTTAGTATTTTGATGGGACACCACTGCTGCAAACTGGGCTTAGCTCAACTGTGATTGGTTTGAAGCAACACAAACAAGCCAGAGCTGCTTCTTCCTGTACAGCTGAGTGATGACGAGGAGCCCAGAACCTTCTTCTACACTCCTCCACCACGAGTCAATACATGATTTAGTCTATATTTATACGTAAAGCTTATTAACATCAGGGGTATAAAATCAGATCAATACAACACCAAGGCCAGCGTGCCTCCATGCAAACTGCACTGGATAAATACTCCTGCCTTCTTTTGCACGCGACCTGCATGCTAACAACGCAGTTTTATTCTTATTTATTCAGAATATCTACCGAGGAAGGTCTTTGAAAAAAAGTCAGCGCCGCGTTAATATCATGACCCTGATTTTTTATTTTTTTTACTTTCAACTGATGGTTTTCTCTTTCAGATGTTAAAAAAAAAAAACGCATAAAATATTGCCTTCCCTCATGAGCAAAAGCAGGCCATGCAGAGTCATTTAGCCGCACAAATCCTGCGAGTCGATCGTGCAGCTGTTGTTAAAGCGATATCTCGTGCTGCCTAAATTCCTGTAACTGAATTAGTTAACTGTACGTGACGCAAGGCGATGACGTGTAATCTGATTATGCAGCGATTTGCTGACCACAACTATGTTTACAGTGACCCGCTGTAGAATCGGAAGCAGGAGTTTTTGGATGCGTGTTTCTAGTATCGGTGAAGTGACGAGCATCCCTCCCCCGTCGGTTTTTCCAGGACGGGGCCTGTGTGTTCGTGCTCAGCGTTTCCGGAGAGAGTTCATTTGTGATGAAAGTTTGCGATCGCTGCCAGGGGAGTAACATCTCCAGGAAGTGAACTCCTCACCCCGGCCTGTGTTAGTGCCTCAAGGCTCCAACCATTAGGGCATGTACACGACAGAGTGTGTTTTTTTTTTTTTTTTTTTGCTGAAGATGAAAGCCAACACTCCAATATGGAACAGGTGACTCAGCTTCCAGCTTGGCGGAGAAATCCCCCGAGACCTTTGACCTCCTAATCGTTTAGCAGCGCTTATGGATGGAGATCTGCTCCAGGCTATTAGAGAGATTAGTGTCACGCAGATTTGGGAAGGGGCCAAGCCTATATCTGTACTTCATGGTATTCTCAGCATTTATTACTGAGCACCCAACCCATGTTGAAACCGGATACGTGGCCGTATAGTAGCACATACTGCAGCACGGGGGCCGTATGTAGGAGCAGTATGTGTTGACCTACATGGAGCCGTGGGCCACATGCTGTTTAACATCATTATTTGCACTTTAAACCTCATGAAGCATCACTATAATTGGTAACGGATGCTGTTTGGTATCAGCTTAATAGCATTTGTTGTATAGTTTAAACATAAGCATGAACCAACATATTTAATGTACAAAAACACAAAAATAAACACGTGCATCATCTTCAGTAGCGATTTCTTGATTGACTTTGGTTATTTCTAATATTGGAAAGATGGCAGGCCAGCTGTCCCCGCCCCTCTTTCCGTGCGAGCGGCGCACGCAGGAGTCCAAAGCGAGCGTCCCTCCCGAACAAAAACAATCCCCAGCTCGTAAAGCAGCTCCATCAAGCTGCGCGGAGTGAGTCGACGTGGTGCAGGATATTCTCTGAGTGAGCCCTCAAAGTTAGGGTGAAAACACTGGAAATGCTAAAACCACACACATTAAACACAAACCACGCCACCTTTGATTGGGTAATATGTGATTTTATTTCTTGAATGAGGCATTAAAGTTTCTGCTTGTTTCATCATGTTGGCAGCCCCGGGCAACAATTTCCCATCAAGCTCCCATTTTAAACTAAAATAAACCTCTGATAGGGCTGAGAGATACGCAACAATAAAACCATACTGGGGTTATTTTGACATACACTGGGATTTGTTTTTATTTTATTGAGATCCTGCACTTAGGATAAGAACTTTATTCATCCTGATGGAAATTCTTGTGCCACATACTGCTCAATAATATGACAACAAGCACAATTCCTAATATGATACATGAGTAAATGTAAAAATAAGGAAGCTAAAATAAAACCAGAATTGGAAAAAGTGAGAAGAAATTAAGGCAAGTGATAAAATAATATTGCACATGATAATTAAACATTAATGATGGTGGTGGAGGGCTGGTGGTAACCTGCAGCGGCAAAAAAAAGAAAACAAAATTAACTAAAAAATAAATAATTATTCTGATACTTGTATTAAATTTGTTGAGACGCTTTTTTGTGATTCGAAGAGCTTTGATAAGAAAAACAACTTATCTTCTGGGCTCTTGAAGATGTTTCACCTTCATCCAAGAGGCTCCCTTTGAATCACAATCAGTTTTATTGCCAAGAAGATTTTCACATAAGAAAAATTTGACATTTGGTTCATTACAGCAAACACTAGCATGTAGAAAATAAGGATGAAATGATTGTTTTTAAGTGCAAATGGTACAATTCAAATCAACAGCAATATGAAATGTAGAAGTAATAAAATATAAAAAGAAAGAAATATTTCCAATATTAATAAAATTCAATTGCAGATTCAGATGCTAAATATTGGATAATATTTAATTTATATCTAACTAATCTCTTGGACAGGGTAGAAATAAAATGAATATAAATAACAGGTACTTCATATCTAAACTCAAAAAAAACAACCAATTACTTTATAAAAGGGAAGCACCTGCTCAAAGAGTCCTTCAGAATGCTTTTATTATGATGACTAATTGTGTAGTTGCTGCTATAATGTATAATTAAACATACTTATAGGCCAAATATAAAAATAGCTGGGGTATAAATAAATACAAATACACAATAAGTGCTCACTGTGTCATACTCAAGAAAAATAACCAGCGTTGTATTTATAAAAATAAAAACTAACTTTAAAAGACAAAGATGTTGACCTAACATGTCACTAAAAGTTAGATAAATGTTTAATATTAAAATTCTTTATCGGTTAAATATAACATTAGACAACGGGAAATACAATAAATAGAAATAATACATGTGTAATATCTAATAATCCAGACAAATAACCACTGATTTATTTATTTATTTAAAAAAGATAAAGAAATTAGCCTTTAAAGATGAAGTTATTGACTTAATATGTCACTGAAAGTTGGATAATTATATATATAATTAAAATTCTTTATAGATTAAACATTAGACAGGGGGAAATAATAAAAAAAACAATAATTGTGTCATGTCTAGGAAAAAAATTGAAAGTAAAAAATGTGCCTTAAAACTCAGATTTTTTCATCAGACCAACAAATAAATAGTCTTCTTACAAAAAATGACAAAAAAATAAAAGCCTCATGAGTGTCGTTTTATTTTGGAAGTCCAGCCTGGATCCGTTACATTCCAGTGCCGCTTCCTTGACTCGGACCAGTGACGCCATCTTGAAATCGTCCCGACCAGAGGAGGAGACGGACTTCGGGAAAAGCAGCTCGTCCTGAACTCGATAGCTGCATTAGCTACACGGATTAACGGCAGCTTTAGCGCTTATTGCCATCATATGACAGTGTTTCCACTCGTTCATTCAAGTCTTTCCCACCGGAGGACGGTTGTTTGGCCCACTTTGGAGCGGGCTACCACACCGGGAGGGGGGAAGCCTCGTAATCGGTTGTTTCCCCGCTGGAGCGGACGGAGCCGCGGTTGTGGCCGGGCAGCCCCGCCGGACTGTCGGACGGAGCTTCCACACGGAATATATTCAGCAACAATTAAAGCGGCTGTTTTTACTCCAGCAGGGTGGGAATGCGCATTTGAACGGCGTCTTTTTTCCCAGCTATGCGACGGAGCTTACCGACGAGAAGTTTGATTGGAGAGCGGAGTGCGCTCGATTTCCAGTCCGATGGATGTTAGCCCTGCCCGGCTGAGGCTCGGCTCCGTGCGCCGCTCTCCCGAACACAGCCCCGGCACAGGTGAACGCGTCTGTTCATAACAATGCTGCAGAGCTGGCAGGTACATGACAGCCCCGGCTTCACTGCTAACAAGTCCCCCGGTCTGTAAACCTGGAAATACCAGCAACCATCCCCTCCTGCTCTTCATCCTCCTCTTCCTCCCGTCTTTTTTTGGACTAGTCAGGCTTGCATTACCTGGGATATTTTGGATTTCGACATGTTAAAGATGCCCTTTTTCCAGAGACAGTGCTCCTTGGAGCTGCAAGACATTTAATTTGACTGGTTGTTGTGCTTTTCCTTTCTTTCTTTTTTTTTTTTTTCCTTTTTTTTTATTTCTATATTTTTTTGTAATTCTCTTTTATAATCAGAGGATCAGATTCGGATGGAAAATGGGAGACGCCACCAAACTGGCCTTCGCCGTTTTCCTCATCTCCTGCTCTTCAGGTGGGTGTGGAGGGGTTATGCATGGCTTATTGTCAGCTGTGGGGGGGGATTCAGTGCAACGCTTATTGTTACCTCTGCAGAGTGCAATGTTGTTATGTGTGAAGAATGCAGTGCAAAGCAATGCAAACCCAGTGGGAAGGAGGGGGGAAAATCCCACACTGCCATTCTGCCTCATTATTGTTGCCCTTTACATGCATCCTCCAGCCTCCATGTGTGGATTGTGCATGTTGCAGATGTCAGTAGTGGCTCCAAGGTGGGGCCTGGGGGCCTCAAGGGGGCCCTTGAGCGACATGCTGGTACAAATAGTGAGCAAATTCATCAGAACATGGCTGTGATGTGGCATAAATTATCATACTGTGAGGCTAATCTAGCAGAAGATGGCTTAGAAATGTAATAAATAGAGGGGGGAAAAAGTGCTTAATATCTCACATCTGACACTAATAACCACTAAATGATTCATTCTGTAGTTGCTACATCAGTGATATTGGCTCAAAAATGTCACTGAAAGTTTGATTCGGTGCACATTTTCAGCCACTGTTACAACACTGCGACGGGGAAAAAAAAAAATCTCACAGCAGCAAAGCAATTTTCAGCACTCATGTTGGTGAACATCCATTATGTGTCCTCATTTCCCCAGGGGTGGATGTATAATGAATGTCGGCGGGGTCAGTGAGGTGATAATAAGGAGAAAAAGGTCAAGCGAGGAGTGCTATTTGTGTTGATTTTATTTCTGTTGATGCGGGCGGACTTGGGAGATGCACTTTTACGAGGCTGAATATTTAAAGAGAAACGCAGGCTGTAGGAAAAAAGGAGGGAATCACTGTCTGCTTTTGGTTTAATTATACAAATTCCCTTGAATGTGGACCGTGAAATTGCAGCTTTAGAGCACCGCAAGTCCTCAGTGAACCTTTTCCACCTCACATAAACCCAGAAGCGCACAGCGTGACTTATATGACCAGGCAGTGTTTCTCAGATGTGAATGCCAGGGGGAGATTGTGTCATAATACTTTGACGCTGTTAACTTCCTCACATGACAGAAAGGTGACAAGACGGCGTGATTGACGAGAGGCGAAACCTGCCCAGAGATTGCAAAAAAAAAAAAGAAAATCAAACCTGCAGGCTGGATTTTTCCCGCTTGTTGTTCAATAACAGAAGCTGGATTTACTGGATCTGTGCATTGATATTACGCAGAGACGTCAAAATGTACAATCTATTGCTCGTGTGCACCGTAACAAAACCGGTTTTCTGTGCAGTCTGGGAATAAATGACAGGCCTGGGTTTATGAAATATTCAGTGGACCCATATAGAAGCTGTTCCAATTAAGACTTTTAAAAAAAGTAGAATAAACTCTCAAGTAGTCGCAGTAGAATTGTACTTATACAGCGAGCCCTGGGGTGTCTTTGAGTAGAAATTAAAAGGTTTCTCAAATACGGTAATAGTCGGGGTTGGTTAGAGTGTAAGCCAGGTGCTGTCTGTATTGCAGAGTGCAGCAGATGATTATTCCACTCGCTCATTACTGTCTGAAGTGGGGAAATGAATGGTTCCTACTTGAGGTGGAATAATAATCGTCTGTGAAATCCAAGTTGAATTGGCACAGCTCAAGACGACACCAAGAAAACCTCTGATAAGGGCAGGGCACTTAGCCCAGAGTGGTTTTATTTGATGAGGCCTACTGACTGCAAAAAGGAAAAAAAGAAAAAAATCAAGATAAGATGAGATTTGTATTCAAAGGTTTCCACCGCTTCAGTCGTTTTGTTTAGTTCAAATCAAAGTCCGGTGTCAACTTTGCACATTTGCACTAAACAGGTATTTATGAAGTGATGCAGCTCCTTAACAGACAAAAACAAATGTTTAATTTACAGTGAGATGAAGCTGAAGTAGATTTTTTATTTAAATACAAAGATTTCCTGCTGGTAGTGGATTCAATACTGCTGCATTTTAAACTCAAACACAGTATTTAGCAGATTATGCAGTCATACACTTGGTCTGTATGTTAGTGTATTTTGCACAGCGAATGTTCATTTTTTGCTGATTAATGGCATCAGTTATTGATAAGCGTTGACTGATCAGTTACCTGGCCTGTTATTGGAATTAATATTTAGCATTTTACTTGATTAACTGCATAATTTTTATGCAACTTATACCCGATTTATAAAAAACCAAAACATAAATACAGAAAAATGGCGCCACCTCATTCTATCTGTCGTCACAGCTCTGCGGTATCGAGCGATATCAGGACCACAGCACCATCTACACGATTAGCCGCTTCGACATTCAGCATTTTTCCCAGTTATCGGTATCAATCAGTAGCCTATCAACGCTAAAAAATGAATGGAATAGAACAGAATCCAGTCATTGTCATTGCACAGTGCACATCAAAACACAGGCTTAAAATAAGACATGTGCAAATAAAATGTATCGTACAAATAATATATACAAGTGTAACCTATGACAACGGTCAAATAGCTTATTGTTTTTTGTGTATTTGTTGTATTAAGATGACTATAAAAACAGTAGCGTAACTTATAATAGTGCAAAAAGTACATTCAAACTGCAGTCGTATGTAAACATAAGTGCAGGTTCATAGATAGCTCATATATGTGCATTAGATTCTGTAAATGTCATATAATCTGTACCAAATATCAATATCTGCCCTGAAAAAAACAAATCAATCAACCCCTGATTATTACCGATAAACAAATCATTGATAAATGTATGTTTTAGGGTTTAGCCTGATGTATGCAGGGTATGGGTTGCCTGAACAGGATTTCTGGATTTTTATTTATATGCAGCGTTTCCTAAATGACCTCGGTGTCCCAGCAGCGATCTAATCATTATTATTATTGATAGCAGATGTTTGGAAATGATATACATTTGCTGTAAAAATGAAAGTCATGGTGTCAAAATGTAGAAAAACACAAACAAAATACTTTTTGACATTTCAATAAAGTTTTGTTGAAAGGTGCTTTGTGATACAAATATTATAAATTCTGCTGCAAATCTTTTCCAAATTTGGGTTATCAGCCTCATTGATGACTAATAATCAACATCTGCTCAGGAAAACAACATTGTTAGCGGTGCCTAAATAGGACTTTAAAGCAGGTGTTGACTGATAGTTTTTTTTTTTTTCAGAGCTGGTACTGATTATTGGTTATAAACGTTTGTTGTAAAAATGAACATCTTGGTGTCAAAAATTTAGAGAAACACAAACTCCAATGTAGAGTTCCATTAAAATACTTCTGTGTGTTTGTTATACGTATGTTTAGTTGGAAAAAGAACATTTGTCTTTAGTCTTACTCGTTACCGATAATCAGCTAAACCGCAGTCAGAACTTGCTTTTACGTTTATTTTGGAAGGTTCACTGTTGCAGCTGCCCAGTGTTTTGATCCTCGTGGCGTGTCTGAATGCTGCCGTCGCACCCGGCGGGTTCAAGGTTGTTGATGTGTTGGGACGGTAAACGGGCTTCTTGTGTACTTTTTTTTGGGGTCGAGTTTTGAAAAACGCCCCTTGTGCTGAACTCGAAAGGCGCACTCTTACTTCCTGACAACGCGACGCTGCAGCGGGCGCAGTGTCGCAACCGGGTCATCGGTCTGACGGGCGACCTCTGCCTCGGATCTCATGTGAGCCCGAGCTGGTAAATATTTACAGCCTCGAAAGCGGCAGCACATCCAGATCTGATGAGATTTACTGCGAGCGTAGAAACTTAGTGGTGATTAAATGTAGCGAGGATAAATCAAATGATAAAACCACAAATGGCGAGCGTCGTTCATGTGAGCTCTGTCCGCTCTGTGATAGCTGTAATATCTGGCTGTCATGTGACTGTTTGACCCCGTGACCGTTGCATTTCTTTCTAAATGGGTTTAAGTTGAAGCAATAAGAACCTGTGCTGTTCCTCCTCCTCCTCCTCCTCCTTTTGTGACATAATGTGACTCCAGTAATCGGTCACTAGCTGCAGAGGTCGTTCCCCGGCGTGAAATTTTGCTGTTAATTTGGGGGAAAGCGGCTGTTTGGATTTCTCCAGCCGGGGCCGAGGGATGGATAAGTCGAGTCCCGAGCTCTGCCTTTACATTTGGCCTCCTGTTTTGTACACTGCAGCAGTTTCACACAGACATTGATCCTCTTGCACACCAGTGTAAGGTTACATCAATATGGCGAGGATGAGGCAGCTCTGGGTTTTTTAAAATCCTCAGCAGCACAACAGATCTGATGATTCAGTTTCAGCTCAGCTACGCATCAAACTCGACTTGAAACACTATCTGAGCCCAGTCGATGACCTGTCCCGTGGTCTCTGCGCTCTGTCCTGATGAACTCGGGATAACTTAACATTTTCCAGATGCAGTGACTGGGTTAGATGGTGGCACTTAAAGGCTCTTGAACATGTTTTCATCAACCCTGACCTTGCTGCTGAGGACTGAATGAAATAAAGACTTTTCCCTCCAGCAGCGCAATTAATTATCAGAATATTTTCCTTCGATTGTGCAGCACACAAAAGGCCTCACACCTCCTTATAGGTAGATGTCTTGTTAAACATGCACGACATTTAATTCAAAGATTATTCCTTTTAAATTGGAACACTAATGCATGAAAACTGCAGATTAATTGCAAAGTTCAGCCATCGTCAAGTTGAGTTCATTTAACTTTTTAAAGGGTTGTTTTTACCTCTATTGAAAGTAGAGAAAACTCAGCAGATGTCCTCTGCGCAGTACGACAAAACTATAACGCAAAATAATAATTAAAAAATAAAAAGCAAGTTCAGTTTCTTTGATTATTTATTTTGCAAAAATTGTAAAAACTTTAAATCGGCTTGTACCATTCTTTTCAAGGTGCTCCCAGGTGTTAGCAGTACTGGAAAAAAAATTGTAATTCTACATATTTACAGTATGTACTTACATTTCTGTTCCTTACACGTCCTGCAGTTCAGCCAAAAAGTCAGTGAAATTTAATTTATGGACTGTTAGATGCAGCTAAGTCACCGACGGCTTCCTGGTTGCACCAATGAG